CAGTACGGACAGTTTTTGAGAAAAGTTAAAGTACATTTTTCACCCTCAAAAATTTCGAAGACCGAAGGGACGCAGGGGTGTACTATATTTTTTTAAATGTTCTTTGTCATCTAAATAATAATAATAATAATAATAATAATAATGACTTTATTGCAACCCTGAAAAAAAAAGTTACAAGTGGCGAAGTTGAAGCCTGGCTTCCTCACTTAACCTAAGATACCAATGTTTTAATCAATACATGACAACTATTTTTTTATATGTATATATGCTAAATCATATAATGTATATTTAAACCTATGTATTTATACAACAATATTAAATATTGTTCAACAAAGAAATAATATTTAATGCAAAACACGATACCATAGCAGACACAATATTTAAATAGTAAGCATAAAGTTGTACAAAAAAAAATCAATTAAAAATTAATTAAGAAACACCCGGTAACAGTAGCATTGACGAACCTGGGACTAATAAGCCAATTTTGTATCACAGGAGGTCAGGTATCTGGTCCCTTATTTTATTTGGGAATTTCTGAGGAGGTACACATTTCAGATCAACAGGAACTTTGTTATACAGTGAATATATGCTATAACTAAATGATCTTTCCTACATTGATGTTCTATGAAATGGAGGAATTATTGTGTATTTATGTCTTAGGTCAAGAGCATCATGATCATATCTGAATTTAATTTTTTGATACAGGTTATTAGGCTGTTTTTTAAAAATAATGTTGTTAAATAAAACCAAACTGTGAAAAAATCTCCTTTCATTCATATTTAGCCAGCCAATCTCCCTCATTTTAGCATGTACCCCTCTATCATACTTGCGTATACCACCAATCAACCGCACGCAGCAGTTCTGGATTAACTGAATCCTCTTTGCATAATGTCTAGTAATAATTTGAACCTGTCAGTACGGGCAGTTTTTGAGAAATCCTAAAAAACATATTTCACTCTCAAAAATTTCAAAGACCGTAGGGGCGCAGGGGTGTAGTATATATTTTTTAATATTTTTTGTGGTCTAAATAATGTCTGGTAATAATTTGAACCTGTCAGTACGAGCAGTTTTTGAGAAATGCTGAAAAACATAATTCACCCTTAAAAAATTCAATGACCGTAGGGGCGCAGGGGTGTCGTTTATTTTTTTTATTGTTTTCTGTGATCTAAATAATGTCTAGTAATCATTTGAACCTGTCAGTACGGGCAGTTTTTGAGAAATGCTGAAAAACATAATTCACCTTTAAAAAATTCAATGACCGTAGGGGCGTAGGGGTTTCGTATATTTTTTTTTATTGTTCTCTGTGATCTAAATAATGTCTAGTAATAATTTGAACCTGTCAGTACGGGCAGTTTTTAAGAAATACTAAAAAACATATTTCACCCTTAAAAATTTCAAAGACCGTAGGGGTGTGGTATATATTTTTCAATATTCTTTGTGATCTAAATAATGTCATGCTAAAAATCATATTTCACCCTTAAAAATTTCAAAGACCGTAAGGGCGTAGGGGTGTGGTATATATTTTTTAATATTTTTTGTGATCTAAATAATGTCTGCGGTAATAATTTGAACCCGTCAGTACGGGCAGTTTTTGAGAAATGCTAAAATAGCTATTTATACAATAAGTTGCGAAATGAGCGTCTTTTAGGCACGCGACGTGAAAATTCGTCGTTAATTTCACTAATGGGCGTGTATTGAATTTCTTAAATTTTACAAGCGTATGTAATATACGCCTTTTAGGAAGATGCATATTTCTTGTTTCAAAACATACGTCTCAAAGAAAAATGTGTATAACTCAGAAATTATTGGCAGTTCATATGCGCCAATTAGAGGGCGTATAAATTTGATGTTTTGCGACATAAATTCCCTGAAAACGAAAAATCGCCTATTTCTCATATACGTCCCTTTGTCAAATTAACGACGAATTGTCCAACAAGGCAAAGCCGAGTTGGACAACACGTCGAGTGACTAAAAGACTTCGTTTCGTAACGTATTGTATACAAGATTTTTTCTACTGGCATTTCATAATAAAAAACACAATTTTATTTCAATGTTTGTCACCTGCTTTTGCCTGACACCTTTCATGGTGGTGATTAATATTCATAATTAATACAAAACAAAATTCAAATCTGTGTTTAGTGTGTTTTTCATTTTTGAACAATAAATGACACTTTTAGGCACTAGTGCTTAAAAGTTACTTTTACGCACTTGAAAGTCACTTTTACGCACTGAGTGCCTAAAAGTCACTTTTACGCACTGAGTGCTTAAAAGAATGTCGTTTCAAAACTAAAATGACAATCGAAAAGTTGCTATTATGAAACGTCAGTAGAAAAAACATATTTCACCCTATCTACATTTTTGTACAGGGTGTCCATTTCAGTCACAACAACTATGCATTGATATATGACAAAGGACTCCGGAATATTTAAATGGAAATTGGTTACCCGTGATATTTGGATGAAATTTAAATATGTTATTGGGGATGCCGTAAGCAACATTTTTTACCATGGGCACAATCCTGTATATATGACAGGTGAGGCGTGGTTAGCTGTCAAATATTCGAATCTTATATCCAAAAACAGAGTAACTATGGCAGATTTTCATTAACAAAAAATCTATTCCTACTAAGTCGACCAAGTTAAGTCGAAAAATGTCAACCATTTTGACATCTGTCAAAACCCTGCCAAACGGCAGCACTCATCTTTTCCATTTTTCAATATTTTATGATGTCATTTGACATTTTTAACTTGTATGTAAATTCTGAATTGAAAAAAAAATGACAGAACTGTCAAAACCTGTCATTTGTTTTAGTAGAAAAAAATACTCCAATCTTGTTTTTTCTCGTTTTAAGGTAGTTTATTGGTGATAAAACATTGAACAAAGCTCATGCACGTCACATTTTGACAGCTGTCAAAATCTGTCAATAGCTTTAATTCAAAAAAGAATCAAATCTAGTTCTTTTTCAATTTAAGTTAGACTTATCTATGATATAACGCATGAAAAAACATTATACGCAGGTTTCAGATTTTGACAGAGATGTCAATTCTCATTTTAAAGTATGTAGTTTTAGTATAAGGGATTTTATTTCATTAAAGTCATTATAGTACCATAGTGAAATCATTAAAGTACTTAAACATTTTGACACTTACAAATGATTTCCACAATGATGTGATTTGTTTCAAATTTTGGATTCTGAATTTACATACAAGTTAAAAATGTCAAATGACATAATAAAATATTGAAAACTGGAAAAGATGAGTGCTGCCGTTTGGCAGGGTTTTGACAGGTGTCAAAATGGTTGACATTTTTCAACTTAACTTGGTCGACTTAGTAGAAATAGATTTTTTGTTCATTAAAATCTGCCATAGTTACTCTGCTTTTGGATATAAGATTCCAATATTTGACAGCTAACCATGCCTCATCTGTCATATATACAGAATAGGGAACTTGCAAGTGAACTAAAATTTTCCAAATTTCTTTCAAATCAATAGTTTATACTGCACAATATTTATATGACCAGTTTTTATTTAACTGATACCGCCCTTGTTACACAAAAAATAACATAAAATTTGAATTAAAAAATTTCCCGCCAAAACAATGCTTTCATGATGGCTACCTTTTTGACGTCACGATTCTGTAAACAAATTTGTCAATAGAAAACTTGCAAGTGAAATAGAATTTACGAAAGCGGTCCTTTACAATATTCTTCATCTATTGCCACAATTTCCACAAAAAGAAAACTTTAACACACTTGAATAACACAAAAATAGCACTGCGTCAGCAGGAGTTCGTTTGCTGCGTTTGTTGTTTACAAAATATTGACGTCATGAGAGCTGTCATATTGAAATTTCGCGTTTTCGCGCCAATGTTTTTGATTTGAATTTCAATAATTTTTTTTTCGTACAACGTACTAATTAAAATGGAAAAAAAGAAAACTGTGTAATATTTGATCACTAGAAGTAGATATCTAGAAAAAAATAAATTGAGAAATATGAAAATTCCCTATTGTGCACATGGTAAAAAAGGTTGCTTACGGCATCCCCAATAACATATTTAAATTTCATCCAAATATCGCGGGTAACCAATTTCCATTTAAATATTGCGGGGTCCATTTCAAAGACCGTAGGGGCGCAGGAGTGTGCTATATATTTTTTAATATTTTTTGTGATCTAAATAATGTCTGGTAATAATTTGAACCTGTCAGTACGGGCAGTTCTTGAGAAATGCTAAGAAATAGTTTCACCTTCAAAAATTTCAATGACCGTAGATATGTACCTACATACTAATAATTTTAAAAAAAATGAGAATTTTTATGTGATATCCTTAGGGAGCATCTAATAAGTCGATGTTACAAAAAACAAAGGTGAAATATACATATAAAAAAAAACCGACGCCATTGAACCTTCGGCTGTTTCCGGAAATTTGTCTGATAACTTTTGTCTGATAACTTCACATCAGTGCAGGAGCTAAAGGGGCCTAAGGGCATACTTATAGTGTATTTTTCTGAAAAAAGTACATATAACGTTGTCAAATTTTAAGCTTTGCCTGTGAACAAAATAATAGAAAATGTAGTTGCCCTTTGTACCTATTATGAAAACAAAAAAATATTTATAATTTTAAACATTAATAAAAGATTCCTGTCACAATTGTCCTTATCTCTTACAACAATCAAGATTCTTATGGTGAGGATCTGAATTAGGACACATTGTACATATTCCTGTTATGTGTTGGCTCAAATTTCTTTGACAATAAATAAAATAATCATTTCACCCTAATAAACCAAATCCTGCTTGCATCAAGAATTCAAATTCAAATATCAAATTCGTCCGCAAACACTATCCGTCAACTATCGCACCCTACCGGCCACAATACAAACTCTCACACCTGTTTTTATCTACCTTTACCTGTACAGGTAAGAGGGGGTTACCTAACAGTGACGTCACTATAAAACTCGCCGTGTGTTTTTATTAGTAGTAGAAAACAAACCGCGCCTGATGACGGCTTAATTAAACTTGGTGGTCCTTCACGAGCCGGACAAACGGTAATTGGATTCAATTTCCAGAATTCTCGTTTTCGTTCAAAGTAATTAATCGATTTAGATGATTAGATAAAATTCGCATGATGGACTACGTATATAGGAATGTCTGATTAGTGTTGTGAAAAGTTGAGAGCGTCGATACACAAAGCGCGAGAGTCGGAACAATGCAAGCAATTAAATAAAAGAGTTCGATTTTTTTTTTGTTTTATATTCAATTAATTAACGATACAAAGGACAAAAGGATTTAACGTTAAAAAAGTGGAAGAGGTAAATACTATAAGCAGGTTTTTTGTTTTTGAAGGACGCTTCAACGGTTTTTTTTTTCAAAATTGAAAGAGAAGCGCTTGTCATTCTCATACTGGACAAAAGGACAATGGATATTGACCATCCATATTTGTTTGCGTCTTTAACTGGATTTCGAAATTATTTATTATCGAACAAAGAAATTAACCGTAAAGATGAAGTACTTATAAGTACTTTCAAATAAAAAGAAAAACATCTTCATGCAATATGCATCTTCCTTAATGAATTGAACGAAGACACAAGAACAATTGATGAATTGTTCTTCAGTATATTGAAAAGAAATCTTCTGATAAAGTACAAATACTTTTCAAATCTTTGTCCATCTACAAGTGAATTCTGCCTAAAGAATCATCAATACTGTTTTATTTCCATATATCATTCATATTTGAAGTTAAGTACTTGAATAATAAATACTTATAACAACTTCCTCTTATTCTAGGTCCAATAATTCTGCTGTGATAAGTCAACTGCCGACCCAATGCCAAATTAACTTCAAAAATGCCTAACAAAATCAATCAACGGACGTTCTTATTACTATTATTAGCATCGATATTAGTCAAATCACAAGACGATGACTTTATACTAAATATTCGGGATACCAGTGACGTTCCTAGTAGTGTAACGGAATACCCGGGCGGTGCGGTGGTGGATCGTTTGGTTTTCGAAAAAACCAAAAGTCCTTATTGGTTGAGGAACGATGTGATTGTGGAAAGAAACGCCGAATTGGTAGTTGAACCTGGAGTCACTGTTAAAGTTGATCCTCAAGTTGGGATTACTGTGAGAGGGATACTTAATGCGCAGGTAAGATGATTTCTGGATAAGTAATTACAATCCAAATCCGAGATTTTTGCAGTACCTACGTACAAAATAAATGATTGAATGACTAGATTAATAAATATTCTAAACTGGCGGAAATCTATAATAGCCATTCGTTATAATATGGTGGCTTCCATATCATGTATCACTTATACCCCACACCCGACATGCATACAGAACAAGTATAATTAGTTATCAAATTCCTGTACAGTGTTTCATTAGAGAATGTGTTTGTGTTTCCTTCTTATAACGATCTTTGATGGTCATTGACTCTATAACTACCTACAGAAAACTATAATTTAAATATGAAATGTTCTTATTAATATTTGACCTACTAGCATCGAAAACCTATTCCATTGTCATTATTTTATCGCGCGTATCATTTTTGGGTAATTGGAACATGTAAACATTCGATTGCACAATAATAAAGTAAAGTGTAAATACCCAAAATAGGATTTTACTGTAATATCGCAACAGGTGGATTATTAGGGCCTTCTTTTCGTCCTTGACTTTATACCTGGGTTCTAATGAACAAAGGGACGATTGCGTCAGGTGATAATGTAGTCAAGTGAGGAACAGGTTTTTGATAAGGGGGTGAAGGAACCCTAAGATTCTATATTGAAGGGCTAGACAAATTTTTTTTTCTACCTTTTATATCTCATTTTTGAGAAGATGACACCAAAGATATACATTAACAAATTCCTAGTTATTTATTATATTAGATATTAGGAACAAAATGACTCATTTGATAATAATGTAAACATAAAATTAGTAACACCTTTATGAGAATGATTGCTTATATTCTGTTAAGCAGGAAACACCTGTTTTTATTGATTTTTCTTTATTAGGTCTATTTGCTTGTAATGACACAAAAACCAAATATAGGTTTTGATAAACTCAGTGTAAAACTACAGATTAACAAGACTGATCATTGGTGAAAAGGTATAAGTAACGCATAGGGGGTTGGGGTAGAAAAAATTAGTAACAAAGTGATCTCTGCGGAAATGAGTAGTCAATAGGGTCCTTATTAATCCCTCAAAAATCGCACTTTGTCGCATTGGTGGAACTTGGAAAAAAATGGCCGCCATCTTGATTTTTTTTGGAATTTATTGCATATTTCGTAAAGTATGCATTATATCAAAAAAACTCAAGAGGACTTTTTTGTGGAGAATCAAAAGTTACCTATAATGGGAGAAATTTAAAGACCATCAGCTGCAAACGAAAAAGTTATTGACATTTATTTCATTTGACAACATGGAATTTTTCAAAACATCTGAAAAAAACTCAAATAGGTATTAATTTTTTTTTGGTGCAGAATTAAAAACTACATTTAATAGAAGAAAAATTCAATAAATTTAATGATCTAAATATTTTTGTTGAGAGAAAGCAAAAACGCCTATGACCAGAAAAACATTTGGGCAGGAAACTACCCAGACACAGACAGCACACAAAGTCTTAAAGACGTCTTTTTTAAGCCTGCATTCTGCATTACATCTGACCGTCTGAAGACCAAAAAAAAAAACGTCTAAAAACTTCCATAATCAGTAGATGTCCTAAATTCACATTTGAAGGATAACTGAACTGAGCCACATTATTTCGTTCAGCCAGGCCTAGAAGTGAATAATGGTTCATGTATTGAAAAGAGATTTGAAGACTTCTTTTAAAAATTTCGTTGGAGACGAAAAATGTCTTAGTTCTAAAGGCGTCTTTATAGGCAGACTTCTGAAAGGTGTTGGGTTTTGTAACATACGTCGTCTTTAAGATGTCTTTAAGACGCCTTAAAGATTTCCCACAGAATTCGTTTTTCATTAAATTTTAGAAGTTACTTGAAACCATTTAGAATCCTACAGAACACTTTAGAACTTCAATAATAAGCCTTTTCGAAAGTTCAAAACACTTAAAATTCAACTCATAATTTCCAACAGCATTGTGTAGCGCTTCAGAACATTTTGAAAACTTCAGAACCATTATTAGAATGGAGTATTTTGGAACAATTTAGAAACTTCAGAGATATTTTAGAACAATAACGATTCAATTTAGAACTGGAAACCTTTTAGAATGCTTTTAAACCAATTCAACTTCACTTTGGAACTTCAACAGGACTCTAAAATACTTAAAAATCTGTCAATCTGTCAAATGAACATTTTGAAATTTAACATGGATCCTTCGAAGAAGCGTACTTCCCAATTTAGAAATTACTGAAAAACTTCTAGAATGCTCCAGAACCCAGTCAACTTGGAACACTTTAGACAAACCTCAGAATTGTGCCAGAGAGCCTAATAAATAATAATAATAAAAATAGAATGAGTAATAAATAATAATGAAATATTAACATGTTCCTCTTTCAATTCAAATTCTTGAATTTTTATAATTTTTTTGTATTCCAGGCACTTGATTTTTCCTTACTACTCATTTTCGCAGAGATGACTTTGTTACTAATTTTTTCTACCTCACCTGCATAAACCTGCCTAGATTGACTATATATACTAGTAGCTTATTTTTCGAATATACTTATACCTACCTAGTTTCTCCCAACATCGGCACTCAAACACTTATAACTTCAAATCACGTGCTGATCTACAACGTTTTCCCAAAAAACATTTTGCAGGCTACAGGCTTTGTTCAGTAACGTCCTTGAATCTTTTGAACACCCCATTCTGTTAACGTATAGATACTCAGAGCTGAGCTGAGTAGGTACTCAGCAAATGTACTTGAAGTATCAAGTATTTCACCAAAAGAAAAAAACAACATAAGTAGCAGTAGATCTATTACTATACTATTTCCAGTAACAGTATTTGCTGTACGTTTCATATGCATTTAAGTACTATAAATACTTCAAGTTTCAATTACTTACTTTATTGCATGTTGGTCAGTAGCATTTTGCACAGCTGGTGATTTTTCATGGTGCTAAATTCCAGCTCCATTGATTCCAACAAGCCTTAAAACAGATTATTCCTTGCACGGTACTCTAAGTGATATATTCCTAGCAATAATAGTGATGAATCAATTAATATAACAAGATTTTGAAGTTAGAGGCAAAATGAATGAAATCAAGGAATGACAGCTATGAAAATTTTGCCTCACATCATAAATGAAATGTATACACAAAAGTACTCACTGAAAGCTATGGCAGCTATAGGGTAGAGTTCAGCAATAAATCCATGGTCAGAGGAACTACCATTAGCAAACAATTTGACATTCAGGCTCGGTAATTTAGTCCTGAAAAGCTTCTTCTGATTGGTGGAAGTCATTGTTACAGTGTCAATAATCACTCGAGATGAAATTTTATATGTATCTCCATCGTGCAGAGAAAGAAAATCTGGAATACCATGGGCCACAGATAAATTGAATAAGTTCAATTGCAGAAAATGTAGTCCTAGTGGTTTAATAATGTAGACACTCCTGAATATCTTACTACAATTTACTGGCTGGTTGTCGTATTTGTAATACAACAAAACTTTTTCTTCTACTTTAATTTCCTTATTTATATCACAAATATCTATAAGACTGAAGAGATTATAAGGAATATTCATTTCCTTCAAAGAAGTAAAACTGGATTCGTCACTTTCTCTACCTTCTCCATTCAAAAACACTATATTGATACCAACACCCAATGAATCATGAACATTGTTGCCTTTCAATAATGCAAAATTCCAGCTCCGTTGATTTCAACAAACCTCGAAACAGATTCAGTTTCTTGCACGGTACTGTAAATGTGGACATCGTGAACTCTATGGGAATAGAGCCGCTGCTCGAAGTCGGGCTCTGGGAATCTGATTTCACTCCAAAACTTGTGTGGTATTGCTGAATTTTGTATGTAATGTAGATCACACCTTTTTGATTAAAAGTTAGCATGACATCAATCCTGAAAAATAGCACACTACTGCGCCACAAGCTTTACCTATTCGTGCTACATTGAACGTCCATTACAATGTCCAGGCATTTTACTTGCTACCTATAAAATTAATTTTCTCAAAAAGGAGTAATTTTTCAGGATTGGTGTAATGGTAACTTTTAATCGTAATCTACATTATGCATATGAAAAATTCAGCCAATTCTGACATAAAGCTACTTTGGGCAGGGTCCTTTCCTGTTCCATCCGTATTTGTATCTGTGACGAATCCCACAGTCTTCGTAACGCTTTTACTGAATTTTGAGAAAAGTAGATTAATAAGTACCTATAAGTAGTATATTATGAGGATTCTTGCTATCTTTTGAATGTCTTTTAAGATATCTTTCAGTCCGACAGCTCTGGACCTCCTATTCAAATCGTGTTTTATCGTGCTCTGGTCACTGCGTATGTGTAAAGAAGAGTTCAATCTCATAGAAGAGTCTTCATCTGTTCTTGTTTTCTAGAGTAGTTCTTCTGGCTGCTGCTCTAGCTTTCACAAGTTCTTTGCCTTTTCTTTTGGAAATACTATCTCCTAAACCTATGGAGGTTACACTTTATTACTGAATGATTTAGGTTTGTGTACGAATTGCTTGTACTGTGGGGCTGGTTGTTTTGGAGTGGTAAAGGTAACAATCTTCCAATTTAATTTGAAAACCCACAGGAAGGGTCTGATAAGATACCAGTAGGTATCTTCATGGTGATTGCGAAGCCATTGTACTGTTGGGTTTTAGGGAGTATTATGTGATCAAAACCGCGCTCACTGTTTTGGATCTCTGTTTTTTGCCGTCACCTTTGGTCCAAAAAACTTTTCTTCGCCACGGTTGGCACGGGTCAAATTCCCAAAATCTCTAGATCGGCGCCTTTGATCTGAAATTTTGGGAATTTGACCCGGGCCAACCGTGGGGACTTTTTCGATACCGTGGAAACTTTTTCGACACCGCGGGAAAATCGGCGCCTTTGATCTGAAATTTTTGGGAATTTGACCCGGGCCAATCTGGTGGACCATTTACGTAGAAGAGGTGGGTATTGATGGCTGGGGGCACTTGAGTCAAAAAAGTGCTCAGGAGCTTTACGGAAGAGGATTTACAGTGGA